TCTCTCTCTCTCTCTCTCCCTCCCTCCCTCCCCTCTACACACATACACATCATAATATGAAATACCCCAGTATCGCAGAATTTTGTCTGGAGAAGATGAGAAGAGAGAGAGAGAGATGGGGATGTCCTGGAAACAAGCAATGTTTTATAAGCCATGATACTGAAAAGCAACAAAGGATGCAGTATTCTGACACACAAAAGGTGACTGTGTCCCAGGAACCTTGAGTTTCTTCACCTGGAGCAGGTGCTGCTGGGAATCACACCATGACTGCAGGGCAGTAGGGCAGAGGCTGAGAATGATGCGTCCTGACCAAAGCCTGGGGTCAGACTCCGAAACTGTCTCTTTTAATGAGTATAAAAGTCAGGGTGTACATGAGATAAGAATGAAAAGATACAAGATGCCAGGTAAAGAGGAACAATAGCCTCTTCATAGAAACAAACAAAACAACAAGGGCATTTATGTTATTAATAGATCATTCTTTGGGTAGAAATAGAGGAATACCAGAAGAAATTATCTTTCTCAAGAAAATAAAGAGAAACCCAAGTGTGTGGGGGGGGGGGGTCAGGTGCAGATTTTTTGACCTTTAATGAATACATTCATCTTTGTGATAGTAGGAATGATGATAAAGTACTAAAAAGAAATGAAAGAATAAAGTTGCTTTTTAAATCCATGTGTAACTTGTGTTTCAGTCTTTGTGTGTGTGTGTGTTTCAGTTTTAAATGCAAATCTATAAACATTGTTCACTTAAACTATAATAAAAATATGATCTACATTTAAACATCTGTTCTTAAATAGTGTATATTTTATTTTCAAATCTTAGTGAATGTTCACACTGAATTTTATTAGATTGTGTTAGAGTGTCTTTTGGCATGTAAATAAAACATTGATTAGGTTGTAGTTTAAATCTTCAGAGCCACTAGATGGTATTGATGAAGTTCTTGTAGAGTATTTTGAAATGCAACTGGCTTTCCTCTCTAATTCCAAACATGATATATACACAATATTTTCACTTTTACAGTAAATTCTAGATCATTGTTCTGTCAAAGTCAATATCATAGGCTAATTTACTTTCCTCCTTAGACTATAGTTATAAAATTATATGAAAAAATTAAAACTATACTTCTTTACCAATATTGTAAAATCAACAATGTTGATTTTTTTGTTCCAAAATATCCTTGAAGTCTAGATTTACAATGTTTAGTACCTAGTGTGGAATCACTAACACACTCTTTTCTAGGGAAGTTCTCAAACAAAATTGTTCTGATAACTTCACATCTTCCAACAAATTTATTAGTACTTTTCTAAAAATATATATATGTCAATTTTAAGAGGATAAGCTTTTAAATGATAGTATCCAGATTACTAAATCAATAACTTCACTGTTACTCAAGTAAAGAAATGATAAAATATACACACAAAGTGCTATTTCTACTTCCTCTAGATCACAAGTTATTTACATTTTGAAGATTAATGAAAATGTATTTTCACAGTGACATGGGGGAGGATGAGTTATTTTGAAGGTCAATACTTAGTCAGTATGCAGTCCTTCAGACAAACATTTGGAAAAATATTTCCAAATCAGTTTGTATGGTGCTATTGCCCCAGCTGCCATAACTCTCACCTTGCAGTCCTCCAAATTTCCACATGATCCAGCAGTCTACATAACAGAGGTTTCCTATAGCTTGTTCCATGCTGTGGCTTTTGTCAGTTCTAGTCACTAATATTTAAATATCACCCTAGTACATGTGGGAATGTGTAATTATAAAGCAAGAAAAGAGTTTATTTCAGAGAGAGAAAATTCAGTGAGATTATTCTGAGAATAACAGAGCCATAGATAAAAGGGCTGCTCTAAGTCCCCAAGGATAATGTTGATCCTGAATAATAACTACCACTGGATCAGAAGGCATCAGACCCTGAAGTGGAGAAGGCTCTGTGAAATAAGTTCATTTCCTTAGTAGTTGAAATACACGATCACTTTTTAATCTGCTTTTGGCTCTAGTACGTAACATCGTCTTTCCATACATGAGTTTGAAATCACAAGTTCTTTAATTTTTAGTGAATTAAGAAAGAAGCACATTAATCCAAATCTTCAATTTTCACTTGTGCAGATGTCTTCTCATAAATCCAAGAAATTTCAGCACTACAGTGAGAAACAAAATATTTCCTCTTTGAAAATAAGCACATCCTTTGGATCCATTGATCTGGCCAAGTTCTTTACTGCTAAACCTGAAAATTACTTTATTTAAAAGTAATAATAAATATTATATTTGAAGTATAATCAGCAGTGTTCTCGGTTGCCCTTGCAGGCAATATCATGAATGTCGAGAGACTTCTGTCTCCACAAACCATCAAAATCCCTAACATTGGCACATCAGAGCTCTTTGTTGCAAGTTAATTGGGATTCTAAGTAGAATTCTTTAAGAATATTAGAGTCCTAAACTGAGAATTTGCATTCGTTCCACCAACATACAGTTGTATATCATTGTAATTCAAGGGGTTTGGTGTTTGATAGCCACCTTTGACCAAAAATGAGTGATTTTAATTCTACCCAAGAAACCTTTGGGAAGGAAAGGGGAAGTAAATGGAGCAAGATTTGATATGGATATCTACCAATTTTCCAAGATGAATGTATCTAAAATGTATTGCAAACATATACTAATAAAAGCTTCTAAAGTGAAATAAAATTTCTTTTTATTCTGTAAAAGAAAAAGAAACATTGTTGATGAAAGTTAAAGAATAAAAGAGAAATAACTACTTGGTGTGGAATGGAAGGGAAGAAAATAGTTCTATATCCAGAAAGATGCCAATGATTCTAAATTTCATCCAATATAAAAGTGTGCATTATACTTACAATAGGAATAAAACTGGGCACTTTACATATAGTTCTCATATAGAATACTCACCTAAATTTTTGATTTATAGTGTTTAAAGAATTTTGCAAAAAAACCATGTGATCACTTGCACATTTTTTAAAAATTTGTTCTTCTGGAGAAACTTTAATAGGACTTTTTTCATGACAATGTAGGGCCAGGGGTCTGTAGACAAGAAAATAGAATAGGGGCCTCATTAGATCTTCCGGTTAATCCTGACTAGAAGGAGTTGAAACTTCACTAGAGGAATTCCCCTGGGAAATTGGTCCAGGACAGCGGTAGAGAAAGAGAAAAAACAGATAAAGAAATGCACCAAATGGCCTTGGGACTTGCACCAATAGAAGAGCTGACAGGCAGGACACAGAGAGCCAAGAGCACAAAGCCAAGCTGAGAGGCCACCCCTGACCACCTCCAATGCGATACAGGGAGACATAAAGGAAGGGGTGCAGGCTAAATTTGGGGAAACCTCTTACACCTGTACACTGACATACACATGCATATGTATTCTCTCTAGGGTCACTACGTTATCCACTCTAGGCTCACTATATTCATCATCTAGAATACAATAGGTATCCACACATCCCCTTACTAACTCTAAACCAACCACGAATAAGGTACCCCCTTGCCAATGCACCACCCAACCCAAAGATAAGGCCCTAAAAAGTAGGTCAAAGACAAGTAAACAGACAAACGAGAAAGAAGCTGCACATAGACCACCGAAGAAATGACATTAGACAGGGGAGCCCAGAAGCCAATCCAATTATGGTAGGTTCTGGCTAGGGAGGAAATGTCCCTGCTGCCTTATAAGAGAGGCCAGAAGGGCCAAGGATATAGCTCAGTGGCTCCACTGCCTGCCTCACATGCTCAAGGACCCACATTCGATCCCTGGTACCAAAAAAAGAGAGAGGTCAGGATCAAAGGCCCTCAGGTAACCACTTTTCCATTTTCCCCCTGCTCCAGTTCTTATCAGAGCAGCTATCTATTCTCTCCTTTTCTCCTTTTCACTCCTTTCCAATAAAATTTTTCTTTCCTTAAACTTTGCATCTTGAATGCTTTTCTGATACTAAAGTTTATGATCCCACTGAGCTGCTCACCACGGCAGAGCCTTGGTGCTCGGCCCACCCAGGGACACAACATGGTGACCTAGAGGTAAGACGTTGCCAAGCCCACACCGTGTCCCATTGGCTTCCTGCACAGGACCAGCTACAGGAAGTAGCACCTGGACTTCCACCTGCCTGGGAGGTAGAGTCTCATTCCAAGGACTTCTCAAAGTAGATACACAAATAAAGAGGGCAATTTGGCAAGACACACTTTTATATTAACATCTAATTATTCATGACTTTAGGTAGCTGTAAAAATGCAATTTCTCAAGTGTTTTATATATATTTAATATTTTAATCAAAACTTTGAAATGGTGGATATAGCTATTTGATTTATGAAAGACACTAGCCATAACACCTAATTGGCAAGTTCTCATCATGAAACTAATTCTTGAACTAAAGAGTCAATTCACACTTACTTTCTGTTAGAAAATGGCTGGCATTTATTATAAACAAACATATTAAACTGTGTTCTCATGACAAACACTGTCCTTCTGGATTGTCGTGCTGGAGACCAGAATAGCTGAGTGACTGAATGCGCAGTCCCTAAAGGATTCAGTCCTGATTTTGTCACTTTGGAGCTGAGTATGACCTCGGACAAGTCATTTAATTTCTCAATATCTAATTAATTTAATTAATTCCTCTCAAAGCAGCACCATTTTTATCTACACAAATGGATATACAACAGGGTTTTCTTCAAGAGTTTTTGTTTATAAAGAACTTTGAAGGCACCAATATTTGATACTTGCACATATATAAATATTATATATGTTGAGTAACGGAATAAATTTATATGGGTAAAGTTCAATGCTTTGCCATGATTGCATTACAGAAATGAAATTAATTACCCTTCCTTATAATATTTGTTACTGACCCTCTTTGTAGGTTCTACTCCTTTTTTGTATCTAGATTTATGATTCTTAACAATTTACATTTATTTACTCAGAATTCTATGCAAAACTTGGTCTTTCAACCTGAATACTTAGAGACTTACAAGGACAGAGAGGGAACTGACATCTTCCCATAGCCAGTTTCTGCCAGAAGGGTGCCATAATGACCCCAGCCAAAAGTAAAAAGTCATGGCTAATGGCTGTGACTTAAGAAAATCCTTGGGAGAAAACAGAAGAAAAACCTTATGAGCAAGCCATACTTCAGTTTGCAAAGATAAGACAGAAACATCCATAAGATTCCTTAATTTTCATCCACAATCCACTGAATTGCCATCATGTGGATGCCATATCTTTGTGTTTCACCGTGTGGATAATCGCTATCACCAGGGAAGTAGATTCAGTCATACCTTTTCTTCCAAGGTGACAGTCTCCATCAAGGTGGAGTTCCTGTCTCTGCAGTCCTTTCTACTGTTGCTCCAGGTTTTATCTTCATTTATCGTGAAATGATAGCAACTGTTTTCGTGCGATTGTCATGTCTTAGGACAAGGATTACATTTGTGGTCTGAAAAGGAAATTACATCCAACAGTACAAATCCAGTGACTCTCCGGTGACCAGGGAAAGGTTGGAAACTACGCATAAATCATTTAATTGTACAATAGGATCTGAGAGCCCAAACCTCCGAAACAGTGTTGTTTTAAGGAGTTTTTGAAGATGAAATTATCCCTGGTTATGGGTTAGAGTGATGGGGATTCTCTTTTCAGAGTTCAGCCTTCGAATTACCAGCTATGCTTTTAACTTCTATAACAACATGCTCACCAGGTGGAGTTAATAAAATGAGAAGTTGAAGTATCCAGATTGGCATCATTCTAAGATGGTACCCAAATTTGTCTCCGTGTTTTCAAAATTATTAATGGATCTGTATTTTCCTTTATCTGCTGCAAACTCAGTATGACATCATGTAGGGGGTATTGATGAGATAACTCTCATACCTCAAAGTACCCCCATCAACAACTTAAATCAGAGCAATAGGTTCTATCTGACTGGTTAGCAGATCTCTTACCTGAAGTATGAATGATTATCTCTTTGCAGAGTTTAATGGCCATCTGCTCTTCCCTCTTCTGTAGGTTGGATACGTGTGATTTGAGAAATTCCTTCTCCATGGAAATGTTCTTATTGTTGTCCAGTTGCTGGGATAAATTATCCTGCTGGCGGTGAATGACTTTTGGGAGCTAACTGAGTTCCTTGGAATCTAACTTCATTTCACTAGACATCTGCAGAACTCCAAAATAAAACAGGAGGCCAGTTCATAATATTCTTTCTTTCTCAAAGAGTTCAATTATTCTCTTGACACAGAGATATTTTTTAGATTGTTTAATATTTGTTAGTAACTCTTAATAATGGAGATAAAATCAAGACTGAAACACACCAGATGCCTCTCTATTCTGAATTATTTATAGTTAATCTTTATAATCATATTCATTTTTGAATTATTATTGTACTAGTATTAAAATAATGAATTAGTAATTTTATATCTCACATTTGATCTAAGGTGGTATCAGGTAACTTTCCCTTTATATTGGAATTTTTAAATTGGAATTGTTGACATAATTATAGTTTTAATAGGAACAGAATTCTTTTTTTTTAAGATTATTCTTTATTGCACATTTGTTTATATGTCTGCTGCTTCTGGGTACAGATAAAACTGAAATATTGAGTTAGTTTCCATTATATTTCCAACAACTGAATTATAGCAGTGAATTACCTATATGTTCCCCTAGGGGTATTTTTCAAAAACTAGAGCATTAACCTTCCTGATTTGTATATGTACTGATATGTATATGCACAGATTTAACATTTTTTAGAAAATTTAAACGAGGAACAAAATTCTTTAGGACTGCAGACTACCGGAGGAATAATTGTTCAAAAAAATTTTTGAAGCAGATTTTAATGGCATATCAAACCATTTTTAGTCCTGGGTCCATAAATATTCATTTTTATTGATTTATAAGCAGCACAATAAATGTATGAACATCTACCCTAAAAGCTCAGAATATTAGGGAAAAACTTTGCCCATCTGTGGTGAACCAATGAACATCTATCATTGCATCTTCATTCTTTCTTTATTGTCTTTGGTGCAGTAGGGATTGAACCCAGCACCTTCACACTGAGCTACACCCCCAGCCCTTTCCTATTCTTTCTTTTTTCTTTTGAAACAAGGTGTTGCTAAGTCACTAAGTTGTCCAAGCTGGGCTTGAACTTAACCACCTCCCTGCTTCAGCCTCCCAGTGTGCCACCATGCCCAGCTTCATGTTTAAAGTCTCCATCACTGTAAAAGATTTACTGCTAATTCTCATAATGTTGAGCTCTTGAATACTTGTTATCTCTGCTAGAACACAATTTTTTTCCAAAAGAATAAGCTACATCATAAACCTCTATCTATCCAAAGAGATTTGTTCAAATCTTAATTTTCCATGAGATCTTACACACACAAAAAGAAATTAGTGTCCTAGAGGAGATGTTAGAAGTTTTCAACATATAAGCTTTTTTGGCTGCAGGTCCCCTGAAAGTAACTTCTGTGCCAAAAAACTGCTTTTTATACCAACATCCTATAAGATATGTATTTTCAGGATGTTTTTCTGCTTATATCCAGGATGTTAGTCTGGGATTCTCACTCCCGGGGCACAAGGATGGGTCAGAATCCAGAGAATAACTCTCTGGCTTAGGCACTGGGGAGTAGGGCTTCTAATGTTCTGCAGAGATGGTTCAATTCTCTTTCTCCTGGGTTTGACATGTCAGGGGTCTCTCCCTCCTTGTCTGTTTGCGGTTCTTATTCATACAAGTCAGATTGTTGCTGCTACTTAGATGGTTTCTCTATACTAGAAAGTTCTAGATTAAGTTACTCCTATGTTAAATCTTCAAGGTAAGTGAAATGGCGTGCCTTGTTTTAAATACATCTCCCTTGATCCCCTGATTGTCACCATTGGAATAATAGGTGGGCATGTGTCTAGGCAGAAAAGGGCTCCTTATCCTAAGTATTAAGTAGTAAAGTAAAAGTCTTCTTAGTGGGCCTATTTACTTTATCAACAGAAAATAATAAATGTGGGGCAGAATCTTCATAATCATAAAATATGTCCCTTGCTGGACATGGAGATGGTGACAGATCAGAGGTTGCAGAAGAGTATTAGAGGATTCAGGATGTTAATAATCTGTTTGTAATCTTAGCTAAATTTACATGGCTTACAAATATGTTTCCTAATCACTTTTCTTTCTGTTGTGAATGTACTTACTCATAACACCCAAGGTCACTAGCCCAATCAGCAGCAGCAGGCAAAGAGTCAGCAGACTGAGGGCAGCCTCAGCAGGGAAGAGAGCTGGATTCCCTGGAAAGCCAACAGAGGTATGAGCCAAGGGAGCTGCCTGGAGCCCCTGCATTTGGGTGGTTCATTTCTCCCATTTAGGAAGTAT